GCTAGTAAGGCATGACATAGGCTGGGCTTGTGCACTCCTCATAGGTGTGATGCTAGTATGGCATGACATAGGCTGGGCTCGTGCACTCCTTGTAGGACTCATGCTAATAAGGCCATGGCTTTGAGGCAGCACAGCTCTGCCCCTGCTTGCCCCGGGGCTGCTAGCCAGCCCTTTGACAGCTTCCCAGGCAGACCTTTAACCCAAAACAAAAACAGTGGCATCTGCCAGAGCCTCTTGTGAACCTCTCAGCTCATTTTGCCGTGCTCTGTCCCCATCCAGGAGCACGTGGCCTTGGGTGAGAAAATGCATGTCCTTTTTTTTCTCCAGGTCAGGCAGTTTCACCTGCTGACATTGCAAATGGCTCGGGGTAGGGATCACACTTTTCCTGACAGGGACACTGGCAAACMCTGTTAGTGCACCAAATGAGAGTTTTCTATTCCAATTGCTCCCAGAGGATGGAGTTTTACAGTTTGCCCTGGCCTGTTCTGCCATTGARCAGGATGCAGAGGTGACAGGGACTGCACTGCTGACATGACACGACATGCTACTCTGAGCTGTGGAATCTCTCCATGACTCATTCACAGCAGGATGTGAATGAGAAGTTGCTGCCAGGCTGCTGCCAGCTCAGGAGGGACACGAGGAGCAGGGCAGACAGTGGYGGGGCTGCCCAGGACCCCACTGGGCTCCTTGGCCACACATCCTCAGTTTYCTGCTGCTATTGGTTTGAATCAAAGTACTCAAATCAAAAGTCTCCAGTAAAATGTGGAGCATCTTTGTTGCAGGTGCGTGACTCCCACCTCATTAATGGTGYACTGGGAGTGTGTATTCACAGCTTGTGGATTTTCTAATTGCATGTTGTCAAATTACTGTGTGCAGGTCTTTGAATCTACTGTTGTGTTTGTAATATTTAAATGGGTGATTCATTATTCCTGGCTCCAAAATCCCTGATGGAGCAACTCAAACTTCCTTTTTTCTTGTGGATTATTTAATGTATTGCTTTTTAGTTTCATTTTTCACCATATATTCTTCTCCCATTCACAGCTTACATTATTTAATTTCCCTGTGTTAYCATCTCAATGTTGCTATTTCTAAAATCAAATTTCCTTTTTTCCTTCATATTTTAATGATAAAATGTGCTTATAGACACACAATTGCTGTATAATAGTGGGACTCCACATCATCCTTCCAATCGTATATTAAAAAATGGGCTGKTTTTTTATATATTTTGTTCATGACAACAAAAATTAGGCTGAGCACTGAATGCAGTCAAAGAGAAACATTTATCTTTCCTATGCTAAGTAAAGCAAGACATATTTGAAGAGATTCCTTTGTACAGAGTGGAGATAGCTCAATGCGATAGCTACATTGTGCTGCCTAGTTAAGACTGAATTTATCTTTCCATTACAGCCTTTATATAACTCTCTCTACCCAAAGAAAACTGATTTTCTTAATATTTCTCTTGCACCATCTCATTATCAGCTAGAGATTTTAAAGAACACTTGGGAGAAATCCAAYAAGATTTCTGGAAGTTTTTACCATTTAAAAGGCTACATTGTCCTTTACTTTAGGGAAGTGCTGTGTTTTGTCACCCAAAGCAGGGAGTGCAGCAGGCAGCAGTTGCTGCAGGAGCCGTGGCTCCCGGGTGGGTCTCAGMCTCTGGGTTTGTAAAGGCAGATCTGCTGAAAGGGACCGGGGAAAGGCAAAGTGTCATTTCCTTTGTGCCCATTTTCCTGGGACAGTCTCACTGACCGCTTCAGCATCCTTACCAAGGTGCAGCAGCCATGGAGAGGGGTGTGCAGAGTGTGGGACCCCAGACAGGCTGGGACATGGCCAAACACAGCTCTGCTGCAGCGTGACACCCTGGATCAGCCGGGATGTGAACTCCCCTTCCCTCCCTGTGCTTTGTCTAACCCTGCTCTTGCCTGCACACAGGCTCCTACATGGGCTGCTTCACTGACGACACACGCGACAGGACACTGAAGGGAGCTGTCTTTTATGACTTAAGAAAAATGACAGTAGCTCACTGTCAGGAAGCTTGTGCTGAGAGGTGAGTGGTACTTCTTCACTGCAGGTTTTTTGTGACAATAAGTGGAAGTGATTTTGAAACGGGAAAAGCAATCCTATGTTAAACATACAGCATCTGTGAAAATAGTGATTATCTCATCCCTTCAGGCACAGCATAGCTCTGCTACCCTGCTTGAAGCTGACTGTTTCACTGCTGCCTATTCTCTATGGCAGCATGGCTATTTACAATTTATTTTCTGTGGTCCTGGACAAAAATTACTGTTTGGTTAAATAGTCTTTGTTAGATATCTGTGATAGATAGATATTGGTGTCTAGCCCAGATCTTGCCGAGGTGGCTGCCCCTGCTGAGGAGGCCGCACCGTCCTCAGGATGGACTCAGCTCTAGAGAAGGCAGCAGCAGCACATGCCACATGCAGGGACATGGGGACAGTTCCTGCCCTCCTTAGGTACAAACTGGGTGGCAGATGGACACTCTGTGACAGCGGGTGGCTTTTGTGTTGGCAGGGCCTACAGCTACGCGGGGCTGGCGTACGGAGCAGAGTGCTACTGCGGGAACTCGCTGCCTTCTGCCGCCGCCAGGCCCGAGGAGTGCAACAGCGAGTGCCGCGGCCAGAAGGGCTCCGTGTGCGGAGGGGTGAACCGCCTGTCGGTGTACAGAGCCGAGGAACCGCCGGGAGGCAGGACACGTAAGGGAGAGTGTGAGGGGAGTGTGAGGAGAGAGTGAGGGGAGTGTGAGGGGAGAGTGTGAGGGGAGTGTGAGGGGAGAGTGTGAGGGGAGTGTGTGAGGGGAGTGTGAGGGGAGTGTGTGAGGGGAGTGTGAGGGGAGAGTGTGAGGGGAGTGTGTGAGGGGAGTGTGAGGGGAGGGGAGGCCAGGGGAGGCCAGGGGAAGGGAGGCCATTCACCCCGCCAGGGAGAGATGTCCAGGCCAGGCTGAGCACAGCTCTGTCCCTGCTCTCGTCTCGCTCCGTTTGTCACCAGAATTTGAAGCAGAAAAGGACAAAGGTCCCTGCAGGGCACAATGTCCATTTGCTGCTGGTCTGGTCCCAGCTCCCTCCCCAAAATAGCAGCGCTCGGAGCAGAGCTGTGCCTGGCACGCTGCCTCAGGCTCCCCACACAGGAGGCTGGTGTCACTGGGGAGGAAACACAACACTGTGCAGTGACTGCAACAGCAGCAGAATCTCAGCTGAAAAAAATCTCCCTTTGCTATCCACTGCAGAGGGACAAACCCACGTGTTTAAGAAGTAATCTGGAAGGAGTGCCCTATAATAGGAGGTTAGAAAATCACTCAGATCAAGGCCACCCTATGCTCAGATGACCCTAAACAAAATGAGTGATTTGGGACTGCAGGGAATAAGTAGAAGCCAGAGAGAGAACCACACCAATCTCCTGTCTGAGAGAAATGAGACCAGTTTTGCTTTTCCAAGGATTTTGGTTCCAGAGGCAATTGGGATTTGTTTCATCTGTAGATGGCAACACACTCTACTCATCATTCAATTAGCTGCCATGGGGGATGCAATTGATAAACCTGTAGGCAAACACCAAGTACATAACAGATCTAAATAGCTGATCGGTCTTTGCAATTGGCAAGCTCAAAAGACCTTAAGGATGTTATTTGCTGAGAAGAAGCACCAAGACCTTTGGTTGTGCCAGTATTAATGGTATTTCATTTTTTCTTAAAGACAAGTCAAGGTTTGTACAATAATCCACCCAGCTACATATCAATTATACATCAAAGGTACATAGACCTAAAKTGCCACTGTCAGGCTGACAGGCAGGCTGGCAGGTTTCCCAGGACACGCATCACTGTTTAAATCTCTAGCATAAAGTATATATACAAATTTCACAGGAAAAGCCATTTTTTAAAGTATTAATGAATTGCTCCTCAAATTAGTCTAGCCTGAAGCAAGAGTTGTAATTATTTTGCCCTTAGTAATACCTGATAGTTGCCTGTTTGAAGAATCCCCCTGACACAAGGCAGCTGAGGGGCCAGCAGAAGTAGCAATCACAATGAACAAGTATGTCAGAAAGTAACTCTGAGAGCGTAAAGGCCCCATGATTTCCTCTGGGCAATACAGAGCACAGGCCTTGTGTGAGTCTTCTTACACAGAGCAGATTCAGTGACATCTCCATTCAAACCTTCCCAGACAGGGCCTGCTGCTGCCCCTCTCCATCCCTCTGCTCCCTGTTCCTGCTGTGGTTCCCCGGACAGCCCAACCCGTGTGCTCCTCTCAGGTTAACGAAGCTCAGAGTCTGATCCCACGGCACCCGGGGTGGCTGTGGCACAGAGCCCTGCTCACCTCGGGGTGTCCTTCCCCAAAGCTTCCCCAGCTCCCAGAGTCATCCAGGGGTCTCCATGATCGTGCTCCCTTCTGATGCCGGTGTAGGCAGGTCAAGCTTTCTCCCTGACCACTGAGAAAACTCTAAACATGTCTGTAAAYATTTTGTTTCAGGAACTCAGTATCAGTGTAAGATTTAGTAGAAAGCCTTTCAAGAATGTTCTGAGAAGCCCAAACACTCCTTTTCTTTTATTCTTTATTGCCAGGCTCAAAGAGACCTAGTCAAGGGAAACTTCTGTTCCCTTCAGCTTGGGTGCAGTTACTTTATTTTTACAWCACCCAAGTGATCCCAGAGATCCCACTCTGCTTCTATTAACTGGTTTGAATAGTTACTAGAACAATATTTAAGCAGCTTYTCCTTAGCTTGCTCTTGGCCCTTGCTAAAGAGTTTGGGATTTTCTGCCAGGAAATTATACAGAACCATTTTTCTTTCTTCATAACTGCACTACATCTCTCCTGTCAGTCAACTCCTCACATCAGTTCTGGCAATTCTGTTCAAGGGAGCAAGTGCAATACTGCCAAGCTGTGTAGTGTTCTCCAGAAGCAGGTGAAATCAGAGCTGGTGCTGAACACACGAGGGAAGCTGATCYCTCTGGGCAGTTGACAAAAGCCTGGTTTAGGGTCTGAAATGCTGCAGCAAAATCCCTCGGCCTGAAAAGGCACAGGAGCAGAGGGGCAGCTGAAGAGGAAGGTGAGTCTGGTGAGGGGGTTTTAGGATTCATTTACATTCCTTTCCTTTTCTGGTGCAGAAGCAGTGTAGATTTTAATCAGGGATTTTAACTCTTTGAGGGGAATGCAGGTCTTCAGAGGAAACTGGGACCTGCAAACAATAGCAATGCCCTCCACTGGTGGAATATAACCCAAACTCTGCTGCACTCTGCTTTCTCTGGTTTGTACAAMGCTAAAGGCATGTGCTCCTTTCAATACCACAGGATTTACAATGCATTTTTCTAGTGTATATCATAGTTTCTCTTATTTTTGCAGCTTTTATAATCTAAAATGTATTTTATTATTTTTGGCTTCTGAACCTAATATTGTTCTTTGTCAAAGAGGCAGGATACTATGGACATCATTTTCTTAAGAGAAACCTATTTCATATCCCTGCAGGGAGGAATGTTATCTATCGAGGATGTTTTAGAGCTCCAGAAAATTTAACAGACACCTTTCCAGCCTCTTTGATACAGCCCAATTTGACGGTGGAGATGTGCTCTGAATTTTGCTCCAAGAAAGTAAGAACAGTTCTCATTTCACATCCTTTCTTCTTTTTTGTTATTTTAAATTCTAATCGAATAAGGGAAGGGCAGAGATTAATGCCTTAGAGCTTTGAATTTGTAAATGAGTTTCTAAAGGACAAAACTCATCAGAGTAAATAGCCAGTGATGCATCTGGTCCAGCTGCTGGAGTGGGGATGGCGGGAGGGAAAATCATCAGAGTGGKGCCACTGGACATGATCCACAGCAAAGCTGCTCTAAGTGATGAGTATCGACCAGGAGAAATCAATCCCGTTTCCATGTCACATTCCAATCAAGCCCTGAGCCRTGTCTGACCMGGGGGAGGTGACATGCTGCCGGAGKGTGGATGTGGGCTGGCAGCATCTGAAAAATGCCCCTGGGAGATGGCTGTGCCCAGGGAGCCATGCACAGGGCGTGGGCAGGGCACCCTCTGTTTTAGTGGCTGTTGGTTCCCTTCCCTTCCTCCCCACCCTGATCAGGCTGATTGTTTTTTACASAGGGTTCACTGTGTGGTCAGATTTTGCCTGCAGCCACATTCAGTCTCATACACTAAACTCAACGTTCAATTACTTTTTGCAGTATCACAAAATTGATTAAAACTATTAAGGCMTGAAAAACAAATCTTCTTAATTACCAGGTAGAGTGGGAAAGCTTTTCCCAGTCAACATATCTCCACCAGTTTTAAAAATGTGTAATGGAATTGTGCAGTGAATTGCAGTGAATCACCCATACACTCTGTGTACAGCACCTTACAAATGCATCCCAATATGCTCTCACATCCTCTATGCATAAAAATCYTAAGGAATTAGTGATAATTTCTTTCCAAGCTTTCTAATTATCTGCTATTCAATGGTGGGATAAAAAATCTTGACCCTTGCCAGTTTACTACCTGTAGCATAATTTTTACTGATAAAGTGCAATTAATTATTGCTTCTGTCTGGAAGAATGCTATGAAATACCTGGAGAAGTTGTTTTCAGATGGGCTCAACATGAGGTTAGTGTTTTTCAGCACAATCATGCCATTCTGATTTGGGGAGATGATTTTTCAAARTAAATGGGTTCTCAGAAGTATCGTTCCCTCACAGCACAGATAATCACAGCCTTGCTGACTTTACTACAGCAGCAAGAGGGAAACATTTCCAGTCAGGTCRTTCTGGGTGTAGCACTGCCCTGAAGAATTGTCTCATGGCCCAACAGATCACAGGAAAAACAGGCCGAAATTTTTATGCGAGGACAGGATTGACKTGATGGCATTTATACTTTGCTTTTAGTATATCCAGTTCAATTAGAACCTAAAGAATGACTTCCAGGTTTGGTGCAAAATGAAAATGCCAATTTTTAAATARACCAAACTCGTCAGTTCTACTTGGGAGAGAAATAGCCTTCCRCAATTAGCCCCTTTCTGTTTTTCTTTCTGATAGATTTAGAGAAAGACTGTAACTGCATCAGTATAGGAAGTTGAAAAAGGAACTAATTTATCAGACTAATCAGAGTAAAACCAGATAAGTGTATTTTTAATCTACTCATAATTCTTAATTTGGATGCAATTTACTACCAAACAATCAGTGATTGAATCACCACATCAGCTGTGTTGCTATTAGGGAATGTTTTACTTACCTTTAAGCTACTTGTTGAGATTTTATCTCACAAACCCTTGTGTAGTCCCATTGAAATAACCTCTCCCTGAGTTACAGCTCTGAGGATGCACACCTGAGGTTGTCAGTGCTTGCTTTCCAGCTCAATCCAAGGAAAAGCTTWTTCACAGCTCCCACTATGGAGGAGTGGTTGCTTAGGTGGCCTCACAGAACCTCCAGCCTTCCAGAAAAGTCCATCCCTTTCAGGGGCCACTTGGCATGAGGCACCAGGAGCATTTTTATTCCAGGCTGTGCTTGAGGGCAGGAACACGTACTAATTTCTCAAAGTGGGAAACACTGTTTCATTGTAAAGGGAAAACTTCTGTTTGCAGATGAACCCAGAACTGTTTTGCCCTTGGATCAAATCTGTAAATAGCTTTTGACAATGTCATATCTCATTCACTAAGCAAATGTTGGCTGTTGGGCACACATGGCACACGTGTTGCATTCAGCTCCTTATCASAGGATGAACGTATGGGAAGGAGCAAGAGATAAGCTGCTCAGCAGTCCTGTCACATGCTCCTAGACTCCAAAAGACTTCTAAAAGGCAAAAAGTGTTGATATGGAATAGATGAACCTGAATGTTCTGCACTTAAATACTCCCTGAACTTCCTTCAGCCTTCTGCCCACCCACACAGCCCCGCGCCACCGAGAGAGCCCACAGGGGACTCTGGGGAAACTCAAATCTTTCCAGTAAACAAGAGAAAACYTGAATTTTAGGGCCAATAAGCAACTGCTAATTTCTTTGGCAAATAATTAGCACATTTCCCTCAAACTTGTTTCAATTCTTACCTCCATTAGCCCAGCAGCTGGGCTTCACTGCCCCACCACCACACAGCTTTGCAGCCTGTTACCCTTCCTGGGTAAGACTGGTACACCAAAACCTGAATCACTCTGCATSAAATCCATTAAAAGACACTTCTTTCAGACAAAAATTTTCCTTAGGAATTCCTTCCTTGCAAACACCACTACCTGTAACTTCCTTATGGCTGCACACTGTAGGAGGCTTCCTCTGGAGAAGCAAGGTAACACCAAACAGGACACGTCTGTGCCCTGGCAGAGCCCAGCTGAGCTCACCCTGCCTCAGCAGCCTGGCAGAGCCACCTCTGCCCTTTGYCTGCCCCGGAGCRGGCACAGGGATGGCTCAGGCACCASCCATCCCCTCACAGCCCCTCCCCTGCACAGCCACCCCTGCAGCCACCTGAATAATGTGCCAAAAATCACTTGGTGCAGCAGTTCTAAATAGCTTTTTCAAAACTACACACAATAGCTCTAACCCTCCACCAACCTCTCTCTGCCCATTCATTTTTTTGCAAACTGTGATGTAAATGCTCATGGCTTGACTTTGTTCTATTTTTAAACACAATTGGAGCAGTCAGAGGGGCCAAATTTCCTTCTTTCCTTTAGGTCTCTTAAGGGCAAGTTTTCTCTACACAAACTGGTCAAATTAACTGACTAAGGCAAATGTGTGGCAGTTGACTCCTCAGTTTGGGGGAATATAAATGGAAGTTTAAAAGTTGTTCCAATTCAAAATGCTAATTTTTGGGGGCAAGTTAGAGCTTTTCCTACACCGATCTTTTACAGATGGAATTACACAGTAGATGTTGCAGGAATACTATAGACTGACTTTATGAATTATGGAAAAGAATATTGTGAATTTTAAGTTAGAGGTTTGTGTCYGAAACCTATTTTTTAGGAAATTGCAAGACAGTAACAGTAAAGTAGCACACGCTTTGGAATGACATATAAAACGATGCTTTGATCTTGACAGTGGCCTTGTGAAGAATTATTTTCTTTGCATGGCAGCAGCATTCCCTGCAGGCTGTTGATGCCATAGCATTTCCACACTGATCCATTTTCTCTCTGCTGTAGGAGTTTCCCTTGGCAGTGATCCGAGGGCAGGAATGTTACTGTGGTTACCCCACGGGGCACTTCTCACTGCACAATGGCATGGACAGGCTGCGCTGCAGCGGCACTCCCAACGGCAGCAGCACCGAGGGAAGGCACTGCCTGGTCTATCAGACCCCCGTGCAAGGTACGAGCTCCAGGGCACTGC